ATTATTATTTATGTATGTGTGTGTGTGTGGCCAGCTCAGCTGGCATGTGGTGCTGGGGATTGAACCGCGGTCCATGTGCGTTGCTAAGCTTATTCTAAGTAGGTGCTTTAGACCACTAAGCCATCTCACCAGCCCGAGTGGAGCCTTTTCTTTGTGAGGTTTTCCTTGTGTGGAGCTTCTGGGGGGTGCTTTACCAGGGTACTACTTGTTCAGTCCCCTGGCGGGGCTTCCTCTGGGTGGAACTTAGGTTGTCTGGGCAGGACTTGCTCTGATTGGTTGGAGCCTTCCCTGGAAGGGGCTTTGCCTGGGCGGGGCTTGCCTTCTGAGGGGTCTCCACAACCCAGCCCAGTGTAGGAACATTTTTACTGAATTTTTTTTTTTTTTTGAAGCCCTGGGCTGCCTTCCTGAGTGACCACAGTTGGACGGGTATCAAAGGCACATGCCCTCAGACTCCACCATCTGGATTTGCCACTTAAAAATCCATGCTATAGGGGGTAATTAACGTGGCTTCTGCGGCTGCTGGAGGCACAAGTGAGGCCTCAAGGAACTCAGTGCCAGGGCCTGGCTGTATCCTATTGGGCCCCATCCCTGCCACGTGGGTGAAGGAGACTCTAGCCTTGCAGCCTGAGGAGGCGGATTAGCCCCACCCCGCTCTGAAGACAGAGCAGTTGGGTCATGGATGGAGAGTTTGTTGACTTAATGTGCAGCCACCTGTTTGGTGACAGCCAAGTGCTGCTATCTCCTTTCTTCTAGTAGGACCGCAAGGTCTGTCGTATGCTCCTCTGGGCGTGATGACTTGCTGTTTGCACTGCACGGAGTGCAGCACAGCCTCTAGCTTGGGTCAGGCTGTGGGGTGGCCCAGGCCTCCTGCTGGCTCCTCCCCCAGGCTTCTGTCCTCTCCCTGTCCTTTGGAACTAGTCATTCCCTTCTTAGGAAAGCTTTGTCATTGCAGACAGGGAGAATTTTGCTGTGTACTTTTCCTGAGGCCGCAGATGGGAGCCAGCCTCTGCCAGAGAAGCCTCCTTCTCACAGGGCCCCAGTGTTTCCCCTGCGGGTGCTCTTCACCTTCACTGGTGGGTCTGACCCTCCCCTTGGTTGGGTATTGCCACCTAGGCCTGGCAGCACAGCTACATGTCCCTTTTCTGGGCTCTTCCTTAACTTCAGCCCTCGAGCTGCTTTAGGAGAGTTGCAAGTTGGAGGCCAGCCTGGGCAAATTAGCAAAACTCTGTCTGCAGTAAATGAAAAGGGGCTCAGTAGAGCACTTGCCTGGCATGTGTGGGATCTTGGATTCAATCCCCAGCGTGCACGAGGACACACATGCACACACAAAGCGTGCTTCTTTGAGTCATGGGTTTCCTGAGGGCAGAGTCTTCTTTGTGTCCCATCTCAAAAGCCCAGCTCAAGTCAGGCAGTTGCATGTGGTCATGGGAGAGTCTATGCCCAGGAAGGGGGTGGACAGCTGGAGGTGTGGGACTGGCCAGGTCTCCAGGTGTGTGGAGGTGGGAATGCGTTCCAGTGGGCTCATGGCCCACGCAACCCTGTTCCACGCCACTCACCTGGCAGAGAGGATGATGACCCGCGCCTCCAACTCCCGCGCCTCCATCAGCAGGGCTGTCACATTCTTGGTCCCCGGGTCAAACTGTAGCACCTTCTCAGCCTGCAGTGTGAGCAAGAATGTTAGCAACGGGTGAGGCCAAGGGACATAGTGCCTCGGTGGCGAGAGTGGGGCCGAAGCCGCTAGGAACCCCGAGGCAGCTCAACTACGGCTGCCGGGCCTGCACTTGCCACCTGCACTGCCGCCTGCCTTCCTGCCTTCTGGCCTGGCCTGGCCCTACTCTGGTCCTGTCTCTGGCCTGCTGGCTCTCCTTCAGTCACGCTGCTCTGTTTTACTTTCTCTGCACTCTGCTTCCTTCTCATTCCTGGCCTCATTTTTGCACTGAGCATGCAAGCTGGAGTGGACCAAGACTCAGAAAGAGACGTGCAGCAGAGAGGAAGTAGAAAGAGTTTTGGAATGCAATTGGGAATGGAGATGGGGCCGACTTTTCCAAAACCGTGGGAGATTCTCTCACTCGGCCTGAGTCCTCAGGCCCCTGCAGGAGCAGCCTGGGCTCTGGCGGGCAGCCAGATGGTTGGGCTCCCTCCTGGCGTTCCACGAGGAAACCCGGGGGGTCCTGCAGATTTGCATGCACTTCCCAGAGAGCAGCTTCTCCTGCGTCCTGCCTGCCTCAAGGATGCAGGCCAGAGCCGTGGCGGGTGGGCCCTGGGCACCCACGCCACCCAGCCTGCCCTCTCCTGCCTGCCTGCTGCCTGCCTTGACCTGGCTGTCCTCACTGCTCAGCCCTGTGGCTCGGTGCGGCTGCGCCTGACGGCGGCCCTCGCGGCCGAGGCGTCACAGGCCGGGACTCGCTAGTCGGTGGGTGGCGTGCACGTCCATGCATATATACCTTGGGTCCGCGCTTGTTGTCATAGGACAGTTGGTCGAGGTTTTCATAGTTCCTTTTTTTACTCTGATGAATAATGTGCACAGAGAAAATATGCAGACACAGAAGAAGATTATAAACGGTTGAAAATGACGGCGCTAAAGCAATCACACCACCTCCTCGGCACGTCTGCAGACGGGCACGTACCTGGAGCTCGCAAACACCGAGGCCCGGGGTGGGCTGGGGGCCAGGTGGAGCTAGGGGTGGGGGCATACAGGGGCTGGCGCCATAGAGGCTCTGGCCACAGAGCTAGACGCCTGGAGACAGTGGCGCAGGAAGAAGGGAGACCCTGTCCGCGTCCACCCTTCAGGGTCCCGCCTCCGCCCCCAGCCCAGCATGCACCTGGTGTGTGGCCCCATAGTGCCCCGCTCCCAAGTCAGTCCTGGGCAGGGCAGGAGATGCCCCACGGCCTGCCCACAGGTCCCTCCTGCCCCACTTCTCCTCCCGCCCACCGCCCTGAGGGTAGGATATTCTCTTCTCACTAACTGGTATGGCCACACCCTCGGGCCCACAAGTGAGCGCATGTGTAAGTATGGTAGAACAGGAAGTGTGTGGGCTTGCTGGGTGATGTGTGGGCATCTGCATCATCTGCAGGAGTCTGCTCAAGGAAGACGGGGTGGGGAAGCTGGGGTCTGAATATGCGTGGGGGCGCACATGCGTGTATGTGTGAGTGAGAGAGGCAGAGCTGGCTGGTGCACGTGAGGGTGTGTGGGCTCATAGGGGACACACTTGTGTGTGCCCAAGCACCTGGACCCTTATGGGGCCCGTACAGGTGAGGTCTGAGTGTGTCTGGGAGGTGTGGAGAGCCTAGGGAGTGTGTGTGTGTGCAAGATCCAAGCACACTGGGTGTGTAGGGGTATGCAGACCAGTGTGAATGCATGTGGCAATCCATGTGGCTGTGGGTGGGCACAGCAGGAGGGAAGCTGCCTGTTGGACACTGGGAATGGAGACCCTGTTACCCTCAAGCTCTTAGCCAGCCTTCCCCCAGACTTGGCAGACCCCCAGGACAGGACCCCAGGACCTTCTGGGTCTGCCTTTGCTCCCAACCTGTGCCCTCTACTCCCTCTGGAGACCTCTGCCACCTTGGGTTTCCTGGAGTGAGGCTAAGAGTGATGAAGCCAACTCTGTCCCCGCAGACAAAGCATGCTCCCTCCCGCCCCACCCTCCTCTGGCCCCTAGGTCCCCACCCCCAACAGGGGCCTCCTCCCCTCTGCCTGGCTGGACATGGGGCCTGACGCCCAGCGCCCTGGGCGGGGTGGAGGTGTCCAGGCCTGCTGCGCCTCAGCCTGGCCATAGGGATGGGTACGGAAGGGAGCAGGGGTCACTGGGACCCCCAAAAGTCCTGCTCTCATCTCTGGCCGCTACACAGAGTGGAGGCTGACCTTGGCTGGGTGTCTGTGTCCGGGACTCAGGTCCCAAGAGGTGTGTGGAGCCCACCTCTGGGATGGATGGGAAGAAAGGAGGGGCAGGGCACAGGCATGGGCACCCCATGCTGTGGGTAAGAGGGGAGATATTGGTGGAGGGGCCTTTGGTGAGGACTAAGGGCGGCCAAGGAGACAAGGTCTCTGAGTGGACAGGAATGGATCCGGGCCGCAAGAGGACGACTCCTCCAGGAAAGAGGCAGGAGCCCGAGGAGGTATGTCCTGCACCTTGGTGGGCGGGCAGCCTGGTGGGGGCAGGTCCAGCATGGCCGCCGAGGGTGCTGCAGGGACGGAACTTGCAAGGGAGCCGGTGCTGCAGTGGGCGAGCCCGGGTCTTGGGGCGTGTCCCCGTGCGGTGAGCGGGGGAGTGGCTGCGGGGCGGGGCCTGCGCTGCGGGGCGGGGCGGGGTGTTTGCGGAGCTCCAGGTGGTCCGGCCCTGGCCCGGCAGGGACTGACACAAAGGAGAGTTCGACTAATGGCAAAAGCGAGTGAAATGAGCCGAGGACAGGCCGGGGCGGCGCCGCCAGACGCGTGGTGCTGAGCATGCAGGATGGAGAGAGAGTGTCACAACGAGCCACAGATAAGCGGCCCGCGGGCTCAGCGCCCGGCGCCGCGCTCGCTCACCTTGGACTCGCGCTCCTCCAGCAGCGTCTCCAGGCGCTTCTGCGCCGCCCGGCCCTCGTGGTCGTCGCTGACCAGCAGGATGATGTGGTTCCAGCTGTACACGCGCATCATCTCGAACCAGACGCTGGACTGGTGGGAGTAGGGCGGCACGGTGCGCAGGAAACTCAGGTGGATGCTCTGCGGGGCGCAGGGGCTGCTGAGGAGGCCGCGGACCCGACGTCCCCGCCCCCGCCGGTCCCCTGCTCTGCTCGCAGCCTCCTCTGCTCTGAGGAGGGCTTCCAGGCCTCGTCTCTGAAATGGCTGCGGGGTGGAGTTCACCACCTCTGGAAGTCTGCCCTCTCGCGGGACAGCGCGGGCTCAGGACGGGCCAAGACCCCACTGGGTCTTCAGGGAGAGTCGCCCCGCGTGCCAATAGCTATTAGGAAGCTGTTATAGTGCACAGGAGTATTCCAAAAACTGTGGCAGCGGGTTGGCCCACTGTGGAGCTCAGAGCTCCACAAGCTGAGGAGAGGCGCGGCGAGCCACAGGGAGGATGCCTGTCCTAGACCCTTCCCTTCCTTGGGGCTCTTTTCTAGCCCTCTCTCCTTCCCTCTAGCCATGAAATGAGCAGCTTTGCTTCACCACAGCCTTCCACCACGATGTTCCTGCCTCGGAGCCAGCTGACCGCTGACCAACGCTTAGAAGCCCAAACATTTGTCCCTCAAGCTGTATCTGTTAGCATCTTGTCCCAGCGATAAAAAGCTAATACCCAAGTCTGCCCAATGGGACCTAAATGTCCTATCTCTTCACCAGAGTTCAAAGCCTACCAGTGCCTGCCAGGGGACACCCTTGGGTCTCTCCAGGTGAGCACTAGACCCACACTGATTTTGCGGTCCTCTGAGGCCTCTGGTTATTTTTCCTGGTTTCCTCTTGGTACCTCTGTGGCACGCTGCAGGGTGGGCTGCAGGGTGGACCTTGGATTGGCTCTGACGCTTTTGCTGTGCAGGGGCTGGCTGGTTGCTGTTACACCGGGGCCAGGCACAGTTATGAAGTTTGGTCTCAGGCAGGAATATGGTGTTGGCCTGTGACCAGTATCTGCGGCTGCTGGTCTCTCATTTGCCCCTGGCTGGCTTCCTCCGTGAGACCGTTTTCCTTTCCTCTGTATATGAAGACACTAGTGCCCAGGAGGGGTCAGGAGGTGGCCAGAGTGCTCCAGAATAAGAGCTCTGAACGTTGGGGTGCTGGGGCAGGATGCAGTCACCTGGGAGTAGCAGTTTGGGTGCCCAGGCTGCTGGTGTCCTGAGTCTCCTTGCCTGGGCCCTCCTTCCGAGTCCTCCGTCTGAGAGGACACTCACTCTGTGCAGGAGCCTGGTCTCCCTCTGCCCTTGCTAAGTCATATCCCCACCCCAAGACCCTTCAGATGTGCTTCAGCTGGGTGGGCCAACCTTGTAGACTGCCATTGTTTTGTTTGTGAGGCAAGGCCTCACTATGTAGTCAGGCTGGCCTTGAACTTGCTTATGGAGCCCAGGCTGGCCTTGAAGTCATGGCACTCCTCCTGCCTCAGCCTCCCTCCTGAGGGAGTGCTTGAATTATAAGAAAGTGCTACCATGGCCATCAGGTTGGGATTTTTTGAAACAGAGTCTTGCTATGTAGCTCAGGCTGGCCTTGAACTCACTACAATGCTGGCCTTCGGTTCAAGATGTGCCACAGGGCTTGACATCTTAAGGCAGCTTTGTCTGGGGCTGGGGCTGGGAGAGGAAAGGATACTGGAAACCCAGACCGCCCACTTGGCCCATGCACCCACTGGATTTTGCTTGGCAAGTGACCCTCCCTGCTTGCAGGTGGCTCTGAGCAGGCTGTGACACTCTCCTGGCCTCTTGGTGGCCAGCCGGCTCCCAGCTGGCGGGTCCGCTCAGAACTGTAAACCCAAGCACTGTGTGACCTGGCATAGGTCCCTGTGTCTCTCTGGGCGACAGCTCCTGCTCCTCCAACTGCCATGGGCCATGAGGGCTCTCCAGGCTGCCATGCTTGGCCCTCAGCCCCTGAGGCCTGGAGCCCCCATCTGCTATGAGCCACCATTTCTGCCCATTTTGGAACCAGTTCTCACCCAGGCCCACTCCTCCACCCGGAAGTCCCCTTCTCCAGACTTGCAGTGCCCTGCCAAGTCCACCTGTTCAGGAGCCTCCCTGCCCTCCTTTTGCCAGCTCAGGGCAAGGGTTGGCAGGCCATTGCCAGACAGCCAGTGAGTACCCATGTGTGGGAGCCCACTGTTGTAAAAGGGTGCTGTGGATGTGAGTGTATTATGTAGTGGCATGATTCACAGAACTTAAGGGTGGGCATAAATGTGTGTGAGTGTGACAGTATATGCATGTGTGTGACTGAATGTATGTAGGTGGGAATGAGTTTCTGCATTGTGTATGAGCTATGTGGCATGCATGTGCATGAATGTGTAAGGTGTGTTGGGGGCATGTGTGTGCATGACTGGGCAATGTATATGGGGGCATGTATGTCTATAAATGTGGGGGATATGTGGGGGCATGTGTGGGGATTGCATTGCATGCATGTGGGTGGCATGTAAAGGGCATATTTGTATGAGTATGACTGGTGTGGAGGGCATGCATGAACATGTGTGTGGGTGATGTGGAAGGGCATGTGCACACATATATGTGGGATACATGTACTTTGCGGTTTTGTGGTTTTTTTTTTTCCTTTCTGGAACTGGGGATTGAACGCAGGCCCTTGTGCTTGCCAGGCAAGTGCTTATTCTACTGAGCTATCTCCTTGGCCCTTGGGGTACATGGAGACACGTATATCTATGAGTGTTGCACATGTGGGGGACATTGTACGTACGGATATGGTGGGCATGTGCATACATGAGTGTGTGTGACATGGGCACATGTGTGCATGAGTGTGGGTGATGTATATGCACGTGGATGAATGTGTTATTCTGGGCATATGTGTGCATGAGTGTGGGTAATTGTGCAGGGGCATGAGTGTGGTTTAGACGCAGAGCACGTGGATGTATGAGTGTAGATGGTGGATATGTGTGAGTGTGTATGATTTTGTGGGGCATTTGTTTGCATGCATGGGAGTGGCATGAGTGGGGAATGCATGTGCACAATTGTGGGTGATGTGTGGGGCATGTGTACCTTGAGTGAGTGGGGTGGACACATGGGCCCATGTGAGGTATGCAAGTGTGGCTGACACACGTGAGGGCGTGCTTGTGCTTGCACGTGCGTGATGTAGAAGGCAGCATGCTTTGAAGTATTGGTGACATGCATGCAGGTGCCAGCAGGACGAGTGTGCGGTGCATGTGAGTCTGTGAGTGTGTGCACTGTCCAGTGCTCCCTTTGGGTCACCCTATACTGACCCCGTGCTTGGTGCTGACTCACCCCAGAAACTGGCCATGGCTGCAACCCACCCCAGCCCCAACATGGGACAGGGAGCCAGTTGGGTCTCAGTCTTGTGGTCAGGCTTACCTTGTCAGAGTAGATGGACATGCGGGTAGTCAGGCCCAAGACAGGGATGCGGTAGAAGCCGGCCGTATAGGAGACTGGGGTGGGTGTGAAGTGGTCATTGGGGGTAGGTGGGTGGCTAACTAGAATGGCATAGACCTGTGGACACAGGAGACAGGGTCAGCCTGGGGAAGGGTCCTGGTGACCCTCTCAGTGCACACTTAGCCACACCCGCAAAGCTGGAGAACAGGCCTGTCACCATTCTCTGACTAGAAACCCACTGTAGTGACCGGTCATGGAGTACAGCAGGGCCTGGGATGGCACACATGCCTCTCTGCATAGGCCAGCAGGGCCTCGAGGGTTGCACATGGCAGGTTGGGAGACTGCTGGAGGGTGACTTCTCTGCAGGGCACTGGGGTAGGCTCATGAGATGACTGTTCCATGCTGACTTGGGCACCTAGACCAATCTGTGTCCTGCCCTTGGGGGCCAGAGTGGGAGTGGAGAGGATGCCAAGGCTGAGGCCCAGGCAGGCAGCCTGAGGGTCTGCGTGGAACTTGAGGAGAGAAGGTCACCCAAAGGGTACCGCAGAAGCCTGTGGCCCTTTTTGTTAGTGTCTCCACATATGGGCCACAAGACAGCATGAAGTAGGGTACAGATTGGCTCTGACTACTGAACATATGTCCCCCATGGCCCGGGACCTAGCTCACAGAGACAGAAGCCCCTCTCTCTTCCCAGCCCCTCCCAAGGCCAGTGCTGAGGTTCTTCATATGCCCATGTGGGGGACATTCCCTTGCCCCTACCGCCAGAGGTGCCAGCAGCTCCTGTCCTGGGAGCTGGGGGGGGGGGGAGGGCTGTGTGCTCACAGTACAGGCCCCAAAGCCATGTTCTGGGACAGCTGCAGACAGCGATTTGCTGTGGTGCTGGCTACTCTGAGGGGTTGTACCCACAGGCAGGCACACACAATCAAGGTCCTGGGGCTGATGCATGACCCTGTCTCGACCTCAGCGATGCGTCCTTGGACGTGCATCTGTGACTGACTTGTGATGTCCAGGTGCACAAGTGTGTGCCAGTACTTGTGTGGGGGTGAGTGCACGTGCCTGGCAAGGGCGTGCCTATGAGGGCAGCTGTGGGTCTGTCTCCTGCCCTGACGGGAGGGCTGCAGTGCAAGGATTCCCAGCTGCACTAGGATTCAGCAGCAGGAGGCTATGACAGGCACAGCCTCGGGGCCCCATCCTCCCCACAGCATGCGCTGTGCCCGGGCACCCATGCGCAATCCCCACTCCCACCCCCAGAGCACCCTGCCTCAGCACTCGGGCAATTTCCATCTCAGGCAACTGTGGGTGGTGGGAGGGAGGGAGGAAAGGAGAGGGAGTCTAGAAGTAGAAACAAAGATGGCCTCAGATCTCCTGCGTTGGAGCCCACCATGCTCTCTGCCCTCACAAGTCCCCAGTACCACTGACCCAGTGGAGCAGTTGATGCTGGCCACAAACTGGCCAGGGCCTGGAGCCAAAGAGCCTCCCCAGGGCCAGCCCAGGGGGCAGTGACTGGTCTGGGGCTCAGACAGGACGCCAGCAGATGCTGGTGTTTGCCTTTCAGGGACACGGGGCCCCTCCAGGAGGAGCCGGTGGGCTTAAGGTCACCTCTTCATGGCAGCAAGAGGACCGGAAAGGGTGGGATAAAACCAGGGGTGGGGGAGGGGGACGGCCGGGCACCTGGCTGGAGATGAGGTCCTCGCACACCGACAGGGCCATTTGGATGGCGTTGGGCTTGTGGGTGACAGAGGTGGCGTTGAGCTGGATCTTCCAGGAACCATGTCGCTTGTTGGCCTGGTTCACGGCCTCACGGAACATCTGTTCGTGCTTGCGCGTGCTCAGCACGGCGCCGATGTTGACGATCTTGGGGTCGCAGGCGGCGCGGGCGAAAGAGCAGGAGAAAAGCAGAGCGAGGGTCAGCAGGCGCATGGTGCTCATGGGCTCGGGCCGCGCGGGCCTGGCGGGGGGCGGCGGCGCGCTGCGTGCTGGCCGCGGCTGGCCGCG